TACAAGCATTGAATAGATGAGAGGAAAGCAACAGACGGTAATGATAAATATCTGGGGAGTGATGTCGAACGGACAGCCAACCCTTCACTTTGCTACCCAGTAATCATAATTGCAGTTAAACAAATGGTATTCGAATTGATGGAAAGAAAAACAGCAAAAAAAAATATTTCTCAGCATATTTATTATTTTTATGCACATATAAGTAGATGTTCCAAATGACGGAGAAGAACACAGCTCGTGATGATCAAAAAATATATATAAATATCTAATCAAGTTCATTAATTACTACCTTATATTTGCTAATACCAAATTTATTTATTCATAGTTTCATTCATACCAAAACAAAGCTATCCTTGATCCTTTAAGATTCTTCATTTTCAATCCCCAAATGATTTTAAACAAACTAGCTTAAAAAATATTATCAAATACCAAAATTCTAGTAATAATATCAATGATATTTTAAATCCTCGCAAATATAATATAAACACATTTTGGTTCATTATATTATCTTCTAAATTATTAAAAACTTCTTATTCGGTTTAGCTTAAGGTCTTTTAGCTATAGTTAATTTATAGTTTGCCTGTACAATTATAATACAATAATCGTATACTGCACTCTTCAAGTTAGTTGATATTCTGATTTTTACTCTGACATTTCTTTTTTCAAGGGTATGTTAATAGTTCGCTCACTATCCTTTCTCCATTAATTAATGTTTGTTGCTAGTTAGGGCATTAACTTGTCTTTGAGCTCTCGTGCACAACATTTCTGAAACGCCGAATCGTGTCCTTCACTCCATATTTTGTGTGTCTGTTTGGGGAAGGGTACTTCCCTTTTTTGATCCCTGTATTGAGGCTTGAGTTTGGGTCTTGTTCTGGCTTCTGCCTGTGCATAATTAAGCGGGAATCGCACTCCATTGTGAAATATACTTGGCCATTGCATTTAAGTGTTTCGGTCGTAAAAGCTTCAAAATGGGGATCCGAAATGGAGAATTCCCGGGAATCGGGAATGAGAGGCCAGACAGAGTGAATTCATTAAACCATTAGCCAGACTCCGGCCGAAATGGAGGCGATTAACGAAAGACGGCATTTCTCCTCCGGCAAAGAGCTGCAAAACTCTGCGAACAAATCAAACGGAAATCAAAACCCAAACAAGTAAATCAAGCAAATCCAAAGCCCCCAAAAAGGGGCGGTTCTATGGAAAAGGGGGCGGAACCGACAGACGCACACAGACTGCGTCATCTGAAAATTGTTGCAATTACGTCGTAGTAAGCAACCAACAATGAGTGGAAAACGAAAATGAAAAGCGTAAGGGAAAACATGACAGCCGAGGGAAAAAGAGAAGCTGCCCGGAATTTCCATAAACACAATGCCAAAATGATGCCCTCCGACCATTCAAATTGGAATCGCCCAGGGTTTCGAAAGAAGCACTCTTCTCAAAGAGTCTCTATGCACTCGAAAAACAAACTATCAATATTTTTACTTAAAATGCCTAAGGTGTAGTTGGAATACTACAATCTATTATAAAGTTTTCATGAAAGAGCTTATGCATTTTACCTACTTTAGATTTAATTACTGAGTCTGAAATGTTATTTAAAGTAAAATATATTTTATTTGCTTAAAATGTAAATAAGTTTGATGTCAAAATAAAATGAAAAGGTTACCTTATCTTACTTCTCTAGTTTGGATGTTTTATTAAAAGTAAAATATATATTAACTGCTTGAAATTAAATAAAAAATATTTATCTTATCTCTTAAGATTTAGACGTGTAAATAATGTGAATGTCAAAATGAAATTGCTATTGCTAAAAATTTTTGTGCTGTGTATTTGTAGAACCACTGGCAATGGCATAAAAGTGCCGTTCACTGCCAGTTGTTGCTACGGTAAATATGAGGGGGGTCGCAAACCCCCACACCCCCTGAATTGTGGGAGGAGGAGGGGCGTGCCAAGGGGTGCATACATTTGCGTGATTTACGAGCTGTCTCATATAGGCCGACGGATCGGTTGGAGATGACTATGACGATGGCGATGACGACGGCAATGACTGCGACCAAACTCCGGGATCAAAGAAAGCTGACCAAATCGAATGGAACATACGACGTGACACGAGCTGATTAAAATGGGGAAGTACTTTGAAATAAAAGAGTATTATCAGTCATCTTGTAATGGCTTTAAGCAAATCAATTTCATCTTATAATATTAAGAGCCCACCTTTGAAGCTTGTGTTTGAAAAGAATGCTTCAAAGTTTAGGTACAACAGAACGAAAAACGAATGCAAATGCCTGTGTGGGCAAAAAGTTTAATTATCTGACTCAAGCGGTCTAAATGGAAACTTTTTAAAAGTGTATTTATTTAGTTTTAATGTTTTATTTAATGTCAGAAGACTATCAAGATATTTTACCTAGTTAGGATGTGTTTATGTTTGATATAAAATACAGCTAGAATCATTGTTTAAGCATATTTGGCTTAAATATGATTATATTTGTAAACCTGCTGGTTCTTATGGGTCCTGTGCTATGTGATTGCCCCATCTCTATTTGCGTTATGAGCTGACACACAATGGCACAATGTTGTCAACGCAATCAGCAGCCCGCACAGTTGTTGCTACTCATGTTGTTCGCCCCTTGTGTTAGTTGTTGCAGAACAGAACTGAACTGAACAGAACAGAATGGGACAGAATGGGCACAAGTGGACAGAGGATAGTTTTCCTCATCGAAGGAGGAGCTCTGGAGCTCTGTGCGTTGTAGATGAACGAATGCGTCATGCTGACCGAATATGGCAACGTGTGTGTGTGTGTGGGTGTGTGTGTGGTGTGCAAGTGGGTTACGAGTTTCAAATTGAATTGTTACCAACACGTGACCGGGCGGACGCCCCGTCAATAAAGTCGGAGTGAATGACAGGCCTACAAACAGTCTACAAGTGGCCACTCCTCTCGTTCCGCATCCCTCAATCCTCATCTCCATCCCAAATCGCCTTCCTTGATGAATGGCATATTAAAAACTGTAGAGCAAATGGTTTACTGCCTTTTGTGGTTTTCACCGCAAAGGTTTTTTCGGGGTTGACCGACCAGCGAAACGCAAAATGTAATTTGCGTAAAATGAGTATGGAATTCTGTGGGAGCGAGCTTAGCTAGTTGATGTGTAGTGTTTGAGGTGAAGGAGTAGCTTGCTCGTTTCAACCGAGTGCTATACACTGCTAGAAAATAATAATCTTACAGACCCCAATTCGAAAATATTTCAGTTTATAAATGATGTACAGCACTATTTACCTTCCGAAAAACTGATATGTTATTATAATAAATGAGAAATAGAATTCTTTCTATTAATTACCTAATAAATAGAATTTGCATAGATATTCTACCAATCTTCCACATATTTAATCATTTAAAAATAAAAAAGACTTCATTATTGATATACTTTTTTAAGTAATGTAATCAATGTGTTGTATATCCCAAAGATGAAAACTATTAAAAACTTTAAACATTGTTTGCAAGCCATTTCAATATATGTTGTTATGTATAAAAGATCAGTAACTTTAAAATGTTTCAAAATTTTTTAGATTTAACAAACTGGGATTTTAAGTTTGTAATTTAAATATTTCAATGCAATTATCTTTCTTAGTTTTCTAAATTAAACAACCATGTTTTTAGGGATTTAAAACTTGAATTTAATCTGTATAAATAATAATGATATTATATTATGTACAAAAAATACAGTAACTTAACTTGTTTTACAATTTTAACAATCTGTTATTTAGGTATTTTGACCTTGGGTTTTAGCTATGTTTATGCTACTGTGCTTCTTAATTTATTTATTAAATTGCTTTTTTTTACTGCATGTGCTTAAATCAAACTTTTAATCTTTGAATGCAACCAGTTGCCCTTTATTTCGCTTTTTTGCGGTGCACTTCCCTGCACGCATTTGTCGAGTGCCTGGCGCAATCAATTCCCAAATCGCATTATGCCGCTGCCAGAAGGGAGCGTCCTGAGGAAAATTGCTTGCTGGCTTTTCTGGCGGTGGTGGCGAAAGTGGTGCGGGGAGCATTCTGGGGAAATGCTCGTCTGGCGACGAGGGGCAGTATCTAAAGTAGGTGGAGCACCGCCACCATCGCCATCGCCATCGACATCCTTCACAGCATTTGGCATTTTATGTGCGTCAACATCAGCAAGTCGCCAAGTGCATTGCGTGCCAAATAGTTTACGTGTCAGTGGCGACAAGAGTTCTCGATGGGTTGGCTTCGGTGGTTTGGGTGGTTTGGTGGTCTGGCGATTTGGAAATTTCTGGTGGTGCATCGCGATGTTGTGTCATTGCGGCTCGCTCTGCCCGTGACAGATGCATCGCAATCGCAATCCCACTACTTTATGGCATTTTGTTGCCCGTTTCTAGTCATCTCGGCATTGTGTCCACACGGCAATTTTCCCTCCACCCAGCATGCAAATGCAAATTCGAATGCCAAGTACTCGAACCCCCAGATCGAAAACTCTTTAGTGTCCGACTTTGTTGTGTCCACAAAATCGAAGGCGTAAGGCACTTTGTTGCACAGTTGTTGAACTGAAATGGCAGCTTATGATTATTTGATTAGTTTTACTTTATGCGGCATTTGTCTTTGGCAGACAAAGTTTTATCGAAGGGATTGATAGTACTTTGTCTATTTTTGTGGCTACTTTATTGTAGCTTAAAATAATTCTGTTTAAGAATGGTTATTTTTATATTTAACGAGAATGATTCTTAAAACCAAGAATTTTATTTTAATATTGGAAAAAAACAAATTTAGCCAACATAGCCAATTTTGGTTAATTAAAAATAGTTTACAATATTTAAAATTCGACCGACTGCGAACAACTCTTCAAACAAAAACCCATCAGAAAAGTAAGTGCTGTGCACGCTACACCAAAACAAACACGGGGCGTATACTTAACCCTGAACTTGAGCAAACTCTGGACGCTATTAGTAAACAGCGCAGGTGAATGCGATCGGAACCAACAGTGCCTGTTTATTTTTAATTACAATTTAGGGGAATGAAACTGACTATAAAATGGGATTGAAGAGCCAAAGAAAGGCATCAGTCAGCGGCTCAGCATTCTCAAGTAAAGATTACCTTACCAACGGAAAAAAGGAATCATCATGAAGCTAACTCTTTGCATTTTGATTGGTAATATTTTATTCGGCACCACTTTTACCCACATATAAGAAAACTTAATATACTTTTTTACAAAAAAAAGCGAGCGCTCTACTGATCGGCTGTTCGGGCTCGGCAGTTCCAGCTTGTGAATGCACGGAGTCCACAACACCCCCTTGTACAACCCCGCCAACAACCACGACAACAACTCCTAAACCAACAACAACAACAACCAAGAAGCCAACAACAACCACAACCAAGAAGCCAACAACAACCACAACAACAACAACAACTTGTAAGCCAACAACAACCACGACAACGACAACCACGACAACAACAACCACGACAACAACAACAACAACTCCTAAGCCAACAACAACCTCATGCGCCACAACAACAACAACAACAACCAAGAAGCCAACGACAACCACAACCAAGAATCCAACAACAACCACAACCAAGAAGCCAACAACAACTACAACCAAGAAGCCAACAACAACCACAACCAAGAAGCCAACAACAACCACAACCAAGAAGCCAACAACAACCACGACCAAGAAGCCAACAACAACCACGACCAAGAAGCCAACAACAACCACAACAAAGAAGCCAACAACAACCACAACAAAGAAGCCAACAACAACTACAACCAAGAAGCCAACAACAACCACAACGAAGAAAGCCACCACCACTAAAAAACCAGCCACAACCACCAAGAAACCGGCAACAACAACCAAGAAACCCAAAACAACCACAAAGAAACCGGCAACAACCACTAAGAAGCCTTCAGGTGGATGCAAGCCATGTGGTCCCGGTGGTGAAGCCTGTGCAGGATGCCCGAATCGGGAGAATCTGTGCCAGGAATTGATTAACCTTCTGAAAAATCTGGATCGCAGGGTCAGGCAGTGTGTCTGCGGAGAACCTGCGTATTTATTGTAGACAAAATTATAACCAAATTGAAGGTAAAAACACCAACGTTTAAAAGAAAACGACCGAGATGAAGATTTAAGAAGGACAATGAACTGAAAACCTGTGCGCATTTTTGTTTTGCTTAGTTTTATTGTTATCGATTGAATAAATTGTTACATTTTTTACGTGCATTTTAAAAGCTATTCAAATTTTTTTTATTTTTTATATATTTACTGCCATCTCTTAAAATAGGGCTTCCCACATTTGCGCTTGATGTCCCATTTTTCGATGTATTTCCGTTTCTATTGACATCAGCGCGTTTTCTCTGCTCAACCACTTGCCAAAATCCATCACTGTTGAATGTCATCATCATCACCATCATCATTGACATCTATTCCGTAGATCCCCGTCCCCAAATCCATCTCTATTCATCTGTCGCCTTCAGTAAGCGTGCACGTTTTATAATTCATTTGCAGTTCCTTCAACAATTTCGTGAATATTTCATTTGGTTTCGTGTGGAACAATTTTTACAGCTCGTTTGTCACTTTCCCACCTCGTATCTCCCACTTTTCCCCATTTTCCCCGTATTCCCGCCTTTTCTCCCGCCCGAGAGCCGCATGCAGCACTGCATGAATAATGCAGTGATCCGATCTGTGGGCGGAATCTGTCACAGATACTCCCAGATGCTCGCCCACTGAACTCCGAACATATGCATACTTATGCATCCGTCAGATACATTTGAATTGACTCGGTTTATTCACCGGCAAGAAGCAAAGACGATTAGCTAATTGACTAATTGTAATTGTATTCATTAGGGTCGAAGGACAGGGGGTTCGGGGGTCGGGAGGTCAGGTATTAGCCATTCATAATCTATCAATTAATTAGGATTCAGGTTGAATTCATTGATTGAAGAATGGAGAATCTATAGTGCTAACTTTGTAATAGAATTTGACTGTGCGTTAATTAGTTAGAACAGTATATACTTGAGAAAAGTTTTTAGAGTAAAATATTTAAAAATAGTTACCTTTTGTATAAAAAGAAATAAGTTCGGGTTTTTAGGGGACTTAACAATAACAATATAATCAGTTATAATAAATTATATTAGTCACAAAGAAGTGCAGAGATTTCTTTTATTCACTTTCACATAGGTTAAATAATCAAACACAATTGAAATATTCGAAAATCTCGTTATATTCTTTAGGTGATAGCTTAATTAACTATTTTGAAGTGCTTCACATTTTTGGCTTTTCTATTCAGTCATTGAGCAACAGCAAAAACCAGTTCAATCCATTAGACGAGCATGTCCACAAAAAGAAAGCCGTGCTTAGGCCTTTTTTAGACCTTTCTACGATATTAAGGAAGAAACAGCATCATTCAACAATGCTCGGATTATTGCGGAGTGCAATACACATCTGTGATTTCTGAGCCAATCACAGTGGCAGATGCACAATACCGGACTCTTAAAATCGAAACGAACCGATAAAAGCCTTTTTGCAGATTTGCATCCTGCCTTCAGTAGCCTTCTCCCAAAACTTTTCATCTTGCTACTAATATTTAACACTAAAAAAAATGTTAAAGAAAATTGGGTTAAAAAGATCATATAAATTATACTTATTATAAAATATAGAATATTCCTGTGAATATTTTTTCAGATTTTAGATTAAGAACAAATGTATTTAATATCATAAAAACTCTATAGAACATATAACAAATTGATCAAACTACTAATAGTTTTAAAATTATAAAATAAGCATATACTTCTTATTAAAACCCTATTTTTTTGCACTTACTACAATTTTATTTAATACCAAAATGTGGAACATAAAAACAAATTGCATCAAATAATAACTTTATGAAAATAAAAATAGAAATTATATTACCTCCTTTTCAAACTGAATTTTAAAATATAATGTATTTTAAAGTTATTAAAAAATCAACTGCTACCCTACCACCAAAAAACCTATTTTCTTAGGTGTACATTTCATTTCACTGTGTCGCCTTGGTTTTGCCAAAGTTGCCGCTCTTACTTTTAATTTCGAATGTTGGCTAAACACAAAGTTTGTCATGGCTTGCCGAAAGGCTTCATCTTCCTGATCCTCCTCCTTCCTTTGCCACCTCCACATCATCTGAACTTCCAGGGTTTTTTGGGGGGGTTTTTGAGGCTCATGTATAATGCATGTGGCTGCAGAAGGACCAAAAACCTCCAGCAATTGTCGATGGCTGTCAACGCAACGCCACGCAACTTCGGTGCGGAGACAATGTAACTCGAAGCTAGGCACAATGTTGCCGAGCTCCAGGGGCGGGTAAGAGGTGGGTGAAAACGGGGGGGGAGCTCCTGTAACAACAACCCACCCAATCCGTCGAGTTGTGCAACAGAAACTGCAATGACTGAACGATTATGCCAATGGCAGGCCATGTCTAAAGCAAACGATTTGTCACAGTGCCAATGAAGTTGAGTCGAGTTCTCCGGCGCAGTTCAGTTCCGTTTTTCGGGGGAAATTGGGAGTTGAGGGGCGTCGGGCTTTATTGCCAATAACAGGGGTTGATGTGGGGTGAAAAGTGGGGGCCAAGCAGAACCGCAAACACTTTACCCCAAAATGCGGTAGCGGGAGATGTTTCTTCTTGGGCCCTGAATGGCAGCAAAGGAAGCTTACACTTGGGGACAACAACTACATTCTAAAATCAGAGAAATCAAAAATTTTGTATCATTATTTAAGGTAAATCTTAGTATTAAAGCACTGCCCCTTAGCCCAATTCTATACCAAACTGATGCTAATGATTTTCTTTAATATGCATTTAACCTGTAGGCATTTAACCAAAATAAAAATTTTTAAATTTTAAAACTGCTTTAAAACAACTGTTTTTTCTTGCAAACAAGAATTTAATTTTGAACATTACACAGAGAAAACAGAGCTCAAAAATTAGAAATTTTGGTTTGGAGATTTGAAAAGTATTTAAAAATCACAACATTTTATTAACAATAAGTAGGAATAAGTTTGTATAAATCGTTCCACTTTTTAAAATGTTTCGACCCTGTTTTTGGACGTAAAACCTTTGCTAGTTTTCTCTGTGTAGTATAGTTTCATTTTAAAATCCCCTCCTTTGCCATTTTTTATTAGTGTACCCAGCACAGCAAGTGGGCGGGTTTTTGTTGAGTGGCCAGCCCGCTTCGATTTCAAAACTCCAGCTGCGACAACTGCAGGAGAGTCCTTCTTCCTGCGTCCTTCGTCCTTTACCCTCTTCCCTTGACTTCCTTTTCCAGCTACTCGAACATGACACCAAGTCCAAAGTCGTTGGCTGTTCATCCTTTTCATCCCGCTGCCACTCCCACTCCCACTTTTCCTTGCCTTTTGCCCAGCTGCAAGTGACAGTAATTGTTTTATTGACATTGATTGACATGGCAGGGAGTGGAGTGGGGTGGTAAAAATGGTTAAAGGAGGTTGTGCAGCGGAGCAGGCAGCATCCTGCAGGATCTGAATCAAGGAAGCTGGTAGCCAAGTCAAGCCAAAGACAAACTGCAATGCCAAATGTAAGTTTCAATCCCAATTTTTGTATCTAGCTACCCTTTTCCCGACCCCCCCACACTCCACATTGGCGAAGCTCAAAAATGAGCAAAAGATTTCAATTTCATTTTGATGGATGGCATTCGGTCCACACACTTTTCATAGTGCACTTTTTGGCTTTTCCTTTCCTTTTGTTTACCCTTGTAAGCTGCTGATTAAACCATGCAATGCTGCAGCTTCTTTTGGCTTCGCCTTTCCCTCGCGTCAGATTTTCCTTCGGCTTTTCCAACTTCTCCAGCAGCAGCTGGTGGTTGGTGGAAAAACAACACATCAATGAATGTGGTGGGCCATTGCAGGCAAGACAATTGTTTGATTTCCGATATGTTTTTGAGAAGTAGCACTGAGCAAATAAACTTACAAGCATTAAAAAGATAAATTAATTTTATTATTCCGATAAAATACTTATTCTCAATATTAATATCTACATTATCAGTACTAAGTAAAATTTTAAATGCTTTTAAAAACTATACATATTATTATTAAATGCAAGGAGTGCTTACAAACACCCACAATAACTGTTCATATTTTAAATTTTACAAACACTTTAACAAACTCATGCATAGTTTTAGGTATATAAAAATATTCGTACCTAAATTTGTATTAATTTTCCATAACAAAAATTATTTGTAAGCTCTAATAAGTATTACTTTTGGTGCAGGGGAAATTTTCAGAAATTCTGCCTTGACTGCACTTTTTATTCGGCTGCGGATGCGAATGCGGATGCGGATTAGTCCTTGTGTAATGCACATCAATCCAGAAGCCAGACCCTGAAAATATTGAAGTTTTCTTCTGCCTTCTGCCTTTGCCCTTCTGCCGTTGATATTCCTCATTCATTTCCAGTTGTTGTCATGGCAGCTATGACTTTGCTTTCCCTCGTTTCTCCTCTTGTTTTTCATATTAATTATGAAAGCGCATTTGGTGAACGGGAAATTTATTTGGCTTACATTTCGATTTCGATTTGGTTTTTCTTTTTTCCTCTGCTTACATCTTTTTTTGCAATATTATTTTTGCTGCCATTTGCGGATACTCAGGGGAGTCGAAGTAGTCGAATTGGATGTGAAATGTGATGCTTAATTAGTTTTTATGCTGCTTGCTGGTGATTACGACGATGATCCTGATCCCAGTAATGACGGCGATGAAAATGGGTAGTGGAAGAGGAAGGCGGTAAAGAGAAGCTTAGTTTTCCTGAGTTTGTTTCATTTGCCTTCACCTGTAAGCAGATTTGAAACAAATTGTATGAAAATAAGTAATACATTTTTATTGATTTTAATTGTACTTCTGTGATTAGAAGAATTTCTTTCATGGCCCTTAAAATTACCTAATTTCTGTTACTTTGGATGATTTCAAACCAATTCTGTGAAAATGGGTAAAGAATTTTGACGGATTTTAGTGGAACCAGAAATTGACTTCTCACTTTAATATAGTATTTGTACATTTAACTCTACTTATTTTTTCAAGTGGCAGAGTAATAAACAAGTGAATATAATGCTGGTGTTTTTATTTGGTGTTTTAAATTGTTAGCTTTTGTACATTAAATTTAATACGCTTATCGAGCCACTAGAACCTCGTATTTGTCATACTTGACAGTACTTCCAGCCACGCGGCACCCCTTCAGGCTGAAAATGAGGGTTCCAGGAAGCTGACCCCTCGGCGTAACCGCGCGACAAACGAAGATCCGCTCATTGATACTAGAGGTTCCAGAAGCCACTAAACCCCGCTCATATTTGCCATCATGGCTGCTTATCCACTCGAAGGAGTAGTGATCCGACGACACCAAGATCTCATAATTTTTCGTGCCTTCATAGGCATACGTGCCGTTGTTCCAAGTCATCTCTCCCGTTTCTGCCTTCACCTGAACTGGAAAAGCTCCAAAATACTTTACGCGTCCTACGTATACGTAATGGCCTTCGGTTGAGACGCCTCCCAGTACAGCGTTTCTGGGAAATGGCAGCGATAGATGTCCAGCTACCCAAGTGTGCTCGGTGTCTGTGGGCACATGGACATGTACATTTAAACCAAATTGAAAAGGAGGTCATTTTAACTTACCAAACTCCTCCGAATTGGCAAAAGTCAACAGAAAAATGACAGCTAGAGCCACAGTCAAACAAATAACTTTGATCATCTTATTGTGCGAAATGTGAGTTTTCTTTACCTGACCGCCTTTTAATAGTAAACTCTTATCTACAAAATAATTTAACTCTTATCGCTATCAGAAATCAAATATAAGAAGCAATTAAAAACAATCAGTGAACTATTATTATTTGTAGGGCAAGTCATGTCATAAAGTTTTATATATAATTTAACAAAACGACCAAGAACACATCATATAACAAGAAAGCAAATAAAAACTCGAAGTTTTTTTGCCCTGGCAATTGAATTGGTAATGAATTGTTTTAGGAAATAAATACTTAATCATTTCAAGACAAATTTTAATAAAGTTTTTAATACCCACTGTAAGGGTATATTAACTATTAAATAATTTGCTTTAATAAGTTGTGTCATGCATATGAATAAAATAACTGTAACCAGTATATAGTTAAGCTTATCCATAGATTCTTTAAATGGGGCATTTTTTTTCTAGTTTTCCCTTTGTGTGTTTATTTAAATGTAGTCACAGTCTTGGGCAAAAATACTGCCTGACACACACAAGAAGTGCAAAAAGATCTGCAGTCGACAACAACTTTGGAAAACTGATAACGGACGGCAACAGGAAATGTCGAGACCAGGCAACAACAACTGCAGTAAAAAGGGGAAGTGGGAAATCGGGGGGAGGTGGTAGGGGGAGGGGTAGAAAACTGGAAACTCTGGTCAAGCTGGCAAAAGGAAATCCAGCAATATACATAATAAAAAAGTTTTTTTTTATATTTTGCCTTCTCAAATGTTACTATAATCTCTTAGCAATAATCTTAATCTTATAATCTTATAAATATTAATTTACAGTTGGAGCCTTAGATAGAAAAAGAACTTGTGTAAAAAAAGAATTAAAAATTTACCAATTAATTAAGTTATTTTAAGATACTCATTTTATTTCTAAAACAATTGAGAACGGGTAAATTGATTTTGTTTTTTTTTAAGAAAAAGAACAAATTATTTATTTTCATACGAGCTTTGATTTTTTTCTCAGCGTGTAAAATCCCAGTGCCAACGATAAAGTTGCAGTCTGGTCCGCCATAACTTGAGTGCATAAATCTTGGCCAGGTTTTGTGTATGGCCTGACGCACCCCTGCAGACCAGTATAACGCCCACTTTTGACCCCCTGAAGCCCAACACAAGGTGACATCTTCGGTGACTGGCACGTTAAAGTAGCCAAATATCAACTCCACTCCACTTTTACTGCTACTTCTACTTCTACTTCCATTTCCACTGACCACTGACCAATGTCCAGACACTGCATAATAAATTGCAGCCGTAGTGTTATAAATATTCGGAGGCCCTCGAGTCCCGGCTCCCATATTCCCCCCTCGATTCTCGATTGGGATCTTAGGAAGGCATTTTGTACATGGAGATTAAAAGGACAAAACTAAAATGCTGACGCAGCTGATAGAAATAAGAAAACAATAAAAACGTAATGCAGAGAAATTTTTATGTCGAGGGGGGTATTGAGGAATGATATATACTCTACCATTGAGGAAAACACCTACTAAAAGTGCACTGTAACTTCCTTATTGCTGTATATATTAATAAAATAATATAAAACAATGGTTCTTATGAATTATTTGACCGTTTCACATTTTTAACAGCTGGTAAAAATTTTTTAAGTGTTTTGAGCCTACTAAATTATTTATTACAAAATTAAGAACATGTTTAAATTGAAAAAATTTTTTAAAGTGTCAGTAAAGTTGTTCATCGATTTTTAGATTATTTGTAATTATTTATATATGTTTGGTGAAGAGTTAATTTAATAAAATTTATAATTTGTTCATAAGGCTTAAATTCTTTTGCTTAAGTTTTAAAAAAAAAAAACATATTTTAATTTAACAGAAGTTTTTCCAAATGTGTCGAAGAAGCCATGGTTTTCTATATCTTAAAACGCAAGCATATTTTCAGGTGGGGTATTTATATACCACGAAAAATTGCTAACTAAAAAGTGCAGTTGCTGTCGCTTTTTTTCCCATAACCCCCTCGTTTTCACCACTTAGTGGACAAGCCCATTAAAGTAAAATAGCCCCCATTTTGAGTGTGGGTTTTCCACCGTGCCGCCAAATATGCGGCGACAACAATAAATTAATGCGATTTATTGCCGCGATAAGAAGGGGACAGTAAGAGGCCTAGGGACTTGGAAGGGAGTACAACAGGGTGTCAAGGGTGCGTCCCTTGTTTTTCAGCACCGTGTGTGGGCTTGTCCGGAATGCGATAGATAAGGGTCACCCCTTAGCCCGCCCCACGCAATTTTCCATGCAAAATTTGTCCCTGGAAATTTACGATGCTCCACAATGCAATGCAGTCAAATAAAATTGTATATATACATCCATAGAGCCCAACCCCTCGATGACTAAACCATCTTTAACCCCTCCAGTTTGCTGATAAGCCGACTTACTTACCATTTAATTAGAGCCTCAATGAGCATTAGGCTAAAAATGCGCCAGAAGCAACTTAAGGCACGCCTCCTGTCTGGCCCATCAAAATGCCATTTTAATTAAAACCAAAAACCCAAAACCCGAAGAGGAAAAAAACCCAGGAAAATTCTCGCCGCCAAATGATGTGTGAGAAGTCGATAGAGAGCGACGGCAGGCGTTAAATCACAATGGCAAACAGGAAGTCAGGGAAAAACAAAAAACTGAAAGTTAGGGAGAACGAGAATTCCCAAAAACCGACAAGGGTGGTGCATGCAAAACGCTGCGGAAAACTCAAGGCTGGAAAATCTTGTGTGAAAATTTGTTGAGCGTGCAAACTTGGTATTTTGTTGGCTTGCGATGGGCCTTTCGGTCTGGGATTCGTCTGGTTGAAGGGCAATAATTGCATGAAATGCCCAGAAAAATATTTCTGCTGAGGGCGGCACAAATTGTTGCTACACTTTGAAAAAGCTTAATTAATTTATATTCGGAATTGGAAATTCGATTGTCGAAAATTAAATTTTAATATTTATTTAAATCTTACTGTGAGTGATGGTGGTTGTCTGAATGTTCTGAATTTAAAATTTAAATGTTGAAAAATAATAAATGATATTTGAATTTGAAAATTTGTATGACCATTTCCAATTCCTAACAAAATGCTTAGTTTGTTTAAAACTAATTAAGGTATCCCCTGTAAAACTTTACGGGTTCGTCTTAAATGTATTGCATTTCTTACTGTGTAGAGGAAGGGGAATGAACGAGGTTGTCTGGTTACTGGTTGTCTGGTTACTGGTAACTGGTCCCGTGCCAGACGCTAAGCTGCCACTAAATCACAACCGAAAGCCGCTGTTAAAACACGAGCCTGCCCCCGAAAAACTCGGAAAACTCGGTTGGTGGTTGCTTTGGCTTGGGTTTTTGGGTTAGGTTATTGGGTTCTTCTTTTTTCTATCGTTTGGCAGCAGTCGGTGGTTGCAACAGCCGCTGGCAGGACACGTGCAACACCCAGATTCCAAGGAGAGGGCAGTGAAAATAGAGGTTATGGGGTTGACTGACTGACTGACGGCAGCATCAGAATCTGCAGGAGAACAGGAACCGGATGGAATTCACAACCGGGGGCTATTTCTTACCAACTGACACTTCCCACAAGATTTGATTATGCTGCTCTGCTCCTTCGAATCTCGTTAAATGCGACCAAAAATGTTTTATTCCCGAGGGTTAATATATACTCAGCTTCAGCTACTTCCCACCTGCGTTTTGCCAATTCAATTTTCCTGCCCCTTTCATAAATACAATATATCCTAATTTGATTGGGTTATTCATAGTTATTTTTGGAGGGGTGTCTGATAAAAGGGGTGTAACCCTTTGGGATTTGTTATTTGTACTTATCAAGAAATGTAAAAGGTAATGTGCAATACTATCTTGAAAGATCCTTAACCTAATTTTCTTGTAAAATAATGATAACAGTCTGCACTCTTACCACTTACTAACTTGTTTAATTAATTTATCATTTTTGCGATTATTTACCTAACCCTTTTTTCTTTACTTCCGAAACTCATAATAATTGTGTTATTTTTAGATTATCAAAAATGACTGAATCCCCTGCTTTTCATTTATTTTTATATTTTTTTAATATATATTTGTATACAATTAAACAAATAATTATCAACGATTTACAAATATATCTGTTTAAGATTTTCTTTTATTTATATCATCCTACACAATAGGCATAAGCAATTATTAGATAGGGAACATCGATTCTCACACTTTTGGTTTATTTGTAGGTCCGCACCCTGATAGACCGTACGTTCAAGCAGATTTCTTTGAATTTCATATATTTTTAACTTCCTATACAATAGGCATAAGTAATTTAGATAGGGGCCTATGTGCTATTTGTAGATCCGCACCCTCATAGACCGGACCCATTGCGTATGTCCACTCCCATTTCCTCGAAATAATCTCCGTCCTCGTTATCTGTATCGCACAACGGCTGATCCATGCTTGTTGTTCCCCTTCTCCGCCGAAATCTTACTGGTTTCTTCAGACTTCCGAAAGCCTTTCGGAAAGTAACGGCCTTCTCGTTGTTGCTTCTGGTACCACTGATTGGGAGTATCCAGCGATGTATGATATTGGCCAGAACAACCACAAGCACAAGGCCGACAAGCATGTACAACACTATTAGGGCTGGGTTGGGTGTACTTTCGTCCGTGCCCATGTGTCCTGCGATGTCCTGCGGATCCACCTTCCAAGTGATACGCTTTCTCGTCTGTTCAGTTGTGCCGAGTCCTGTTGGATTTCAAAAATATTATTTTAAATTGACTTTTTGATGTTTTTTAATTTAGCTACTGATTAAAAACTTGCAAAAACAACACAATTTCTAAAGTAGGATATATATGTACATTTAATCCACCAATGCAAATTTTTTATATTTAAACCTTTTATGGTGTCTCTATTTTATCTTTATAAATTTTTTAACACTCCATTTGAAGTTAAGCTTTGTTGTTCCCTTATCTTCCTTAGTATATAAATTGTTAGTATTGATAAAATTCTTCTAGCGGTATTACACAAAAGTAAATTCTTTGTATTGGATCTGAGTAGTTGTCTTTTTGTCCGATTTATAAATACCAGACCGAAATATTGTTATAAAAGTGTAAGAAGAAAAATAAATATTCTTTCCTGCAATTTTTTGGGTACTGGCTGTTGATGGCGCTTTTGTTGTTGTTGCATCAATCTTTTTGGCTGTGGTTGTTTTTCCTGTCGTTGTTGTTGTTGTGGTTTTCTGTGTTGTCAACACTTTTTTTGTAGTCGTTGTCTTTGGAGTGGTTGAAGTAGTTGTTGTTGTTGTCTTTGGTGTTGTAGAAGTTGTAGTTGTTGTTGATGTTTTCCGTGTTGTTGTTGTCGGCTTTTTGGTGGTTGTTGTCCTTCTTGTGGTTGCTACCTTTGTTGTTGTTGTTGTGGGCCTTGGTGTTGTTGTAGTGGTTGTAGTAGTAGTTGGTGTTGTTGTCCTTCTGGTTGTTGTTGTTGTCGTAGATGTCGTTGTCGTTGCTCTTTTCGTCGATGTTGTTGCTCTTCTTGTGGTTGTTGTAGGTTTCTTTGTAGTGCTAGTGGTTGTTGTAGTGCTCGTTTCTTCTTCGGTCGTTGTATCGAGCCCCTTAGCACACTCGTCGATATAGTTTAGGCAACAGCTGTCAAATATGAGACAAGAATCATCACACCCACAACCCATAATAAAACCCTCTTTGGTGAAGGAGGGACCGGGATTTTCGGATCCGCAACGACCCCTACAGCTCATCATATCCGAAACCAAAGGCATTTCGCTGCTGGCCGTCGGTGGTGGCGGTGGTTCGGTGGTGGTGGTGAATCCAGCCACTCCGCACTCACTGCCCGTCATCAGCTTGACGTCATCGATGGCAATGTCCCCGAATTCCGATCTCGCATCGGTGGCCGTAAAGATCACCTGAAAGTCCTCCTGCATCTCATCTATGGTTATAGTGTGCTCTAGCCAGTTGGGTCCCTGTTGGCCTGACATCTCGAATTTGCTGGAACTGGGGGACCAGATAGTTAATGTTTTATACAAAAATTTACATTTTAAATGTGCGAAAATATTCTTGTTTTCAAAGTAAACCCATTACGTCGACATAAAGCTCTTCATTTTACAGTTTGCGTTATCTTGAAATGAATGTTTTAATAAATAAATACATTATCTAAGTTTTGTGGTCCAAAATGTTTTATCTCCCCGACTTGCTGACTAAGAAAAAGTTTAAATTAAAAATTCGAAAACATGTCATATCTAAGAACTTTCCAGCTAAACTTGTTCTTGCTACGAACTGTTACGTAAATAAGTTTCCCTTTTTATCATTTTGAATGCTTTGCCTTTGCTTTTGCCTTATCGAACTGGGCTTCCGCTGCGGATGAACTTACTTGGCCCTGAAAAGGTTCCACATGTCGGCCATTCGCATGGAGACGGGTTTCACGGACACCACCAGACTATCCACGCCCGCTCCGAACATGAAATAGTGAAACCGGAAGCAGCATGCCGTCTTCAGACTCAGGGATCTGGGATAGATCGGCGACATTAAGTGGTAGCTGCCATAGGCGCCCATCTGGGTCTCCATGCGCATATAGTGTCCGCCGGCGCGGCTCTGGAAGGTGTGATCGTGATGGGGTCCTGTTCGCAGCGAGTGATGGTCATAGACCGCACTGACGCGCCTCCAAGGTTGCCGGTAGGTCACCTCCGCCTCCCAACCGCACTGATCCTCGCTCTCAAAGTCGCACGAATGGTCGCCAGTGTGATTGCTTCTGCGGCAGGTTCCCAACTGGGTGTTCCACTCTTCGCCATTGCAGTAGGCAGTGCGACTACCCACCAACACAAAGCCATCCAGGCACACGATTTCCGCCTTCAAAGGATCACTCAGAACACGTCCATTTTCAGGATCCTTATTCTCCTCACAACCCCTCCCTAAAAATTGGAACAAATTAGGGATGTCAGTGAACAAGAAACTACTCTTTTCGCATTTGGTCAATCAATTTACCATTTCTCAAAAATATTGATAGGTCACACAAGCAATTGAAAATAGGGTATTTTATAAATTTATTGTATTTTTTCAAGCTTAATTTTTTTTAAAGCTTTCCCAACCATAATTTTGAGCATTTTTATAGTAGCTTAAGAATTTTTGGTTATGAAGATTGACTTCACTATTACAAAATTGATAACTACAGTATGTTGAAATTTAATATTCGCATTAGGATTACCAAATAAACAGTTTAAAATTTTCTTGAAGAATATTAACCATTGGAAAGTGTTCTTATACCTTGTTTTTTGTATTGGTATTTCCAATTTGGTAAGTGGCATCATATTAAATTAAAAGTAAAGATTTTTGAACACTTTAAATTGTCTCTTAACTTTTTTTTTGACCGCACCCGTATGCGCACTGTTATTTTTCACATTATCTTCCATTCAATAGTTTTTGCAGGCTTTCCTTACATTTTTATGTTATTTTTATTTGGTCAATGGACCAATTTTGTAAATATTTTTTACACTCACTGGCACAAAAAGGCTTTTCTCCCCGAAGGCGGCCATCTCGGTCGCAATTTTGCAACATACTTCCTTGCAGAGAATAGCCGCGATTGCACCGAAATCTCACAAGACTTCTCCCTCGAAACATAACAAGGCCATTTGCCAATGATACAGATCTTTCACATCGGCCATATGACTGGTCTATACTCAAAATTAAAAGCAGTGAAAGAGTCCAGAGAAATTCCATTACTTCTGCAGTTGATGTTTATATCCTAAAAGTTGACTGAAGACTGAGCGGCGTCCAATGCTCGACTGACTTTCGATTCACTAAGCTATATCTTTGAGACTTCGAAATCCCGACTCGAGAAACAATTGCAGTCGCCACTTAACGCCTGAACTGTGATAACAGCAACCGCAGATAACCACTTTATCGTTTATTCATTATTCTTAGTATTACTTCATTTTGTCTGCTATAATATCTGTCAAAGAATTTTTTATTTTTTGTTTCGCATTCTCATTGTTATATTCATATTTGTATTTATTTGATATAATCTTCCTAGTGCTAATGTATACAAATATTTTTTAAAATTATAAAATATTTGCATAATATGTTGCTTTTGTATCATTTATCTCAAATTGGTCAAGAAAAAATTGAAACATTCTAGTAACTATGATTTATCTTCACCGCCTTAGGTCTTTCCTGTTTTTTAAAAAAATTTCTGGTTAGTATGTGTCAATAGTTTGTCAAAAAAGAGCACCGAATTCTAGACTTTTCTTATGCTGATTTGGATATTTAAGTAGAACTAAATGAGATTCCGAAATTCACTTTTTAGATGTGTAAATTGTAAATCCAAGTCAGACTAATAAAACCATCATTTTGCTTATCTCCTTATTACACCACTAAACTGCGATTGCAGTTTCATCTTGGGTCGCCATTCAAATGCAATTATGCGCATCTCCTGTCGGAACGGAACGTATTGCAGGGAGATGGAACTAAATGGTAGCAGCTTCTTCCTGTCGCCTGGCAGTCTAAATTATGGCCATCTCCTGGAAAATAATTGCCAAGGGGATGGGATCTTTGCTGTGATTTATGTTTACTTCCGCTTAAGTCTCAAACAACTCGCAATCACGACGCTCGCTTTCTCCGCATCTCTCTCCAAAATCTCCCCCACTTTCACCGTGTCGAGATAATCAGTCAATATTGACAACTACTTATTGGCACTTCCGATGAGCGCGGAATGGGGCGGATTGGGTCGGAATGGGGTGGCGAAGGCCACGTGACCGGGGATCAGGAACTGAACGGCCACGTGTCCGACAAAATGCAACGGAAAGTGTACTGAATTCCCGTACTCCGTTTCCCCGATTCTCCGCTCTCCATCAGCAATTCAAATTTCATTCATAATTACAATCAGCGAAACGGGAATGTGGTGAAGGGTGGTGAAATCTAAGGGTGGTTTCAAGCCATCCGACTCTTATCATCGAAGGGTAACTCAGGGACACATGGAGAAAATATCACCTTGATTAAAGTGACACAAAATTGCCACACAAAAAGCAGGGATTTTGTTTGCTAAATATTGTTGATTAACATAATTAATTTAATATCTAAATAATTAGCGTAGCTGTACTTCTAAATGCTTCCCTTTCTTTAGTATAATATAACAGGTCGAAAATGTCATGACAAATTTTAGATGTTAAAATAATTTAAAGATTGCATTTTTAAATTTTATCAACATTTATAATTTTAATAAACTTGTCAACTGGTCAATTTCGAATTCTTGAAGTCAATATAAATCAAGCAAAATAAAATTAATTTCTTTAACTTGAATTTATAAATATCCGGATTTATTTATACAATACTTATATAAATTCATATGAATTTAATTTATTAAGCTTTATTTATAATATCATTCTGGTTTTCGTAAATAATAAATAATTTGTTTTAGTTAAAATAAGTTTTATTAATTTTTCTCCATGTAGCTAGATCGTGAGTTTCAGCCCTCTTAGTGTTTGTTGTTCCTCTAATAAGTTCCCGGCTGCTTAAATATTTGCTCATTATTATTATTATTATTCTCTTATTTGCGGCTCTAGCCACTGTTGCCATGCCGGTGGTTTTGAAACTCCAATATTTGCGCTCAAATTACGGAACCCAGCCACCGACCGACCAGCTGGCTGTCTAGTTGGCAGGCAATGAAAGGGGAATCCCTTTCAGAAGTTCAGGGCGCAAAATCGGTGGCCAGGATTGGCAGCAAATGAGCAGATGTTGCCAAGAAAGGTCGTTGGGTCCAAGGGACAGTCATCAAATGGTTACGGGAAAAGGTATGCCATGGCAATACAGATAATCAAATCACACTGGCCTATTTTTAGCTAACGAATTAATGGCTTATCCAAGCCATAGCTAACGATTTTTTATTCTAAATGAATTTCGGGTGTTATTTTAAATCTTATAGAAATCCAGGTACTTAGGCGACATGAAACGGGGCTCAAGTCTGTTTTACTAGTTCTTGTTTCTGTTGATTTTGTAACAAGCTTGTGTTCTTCGGATATTAATAAATGAATTAATTAAAACATTCAAGTTTATTATTTTTAAGAGTATAACTGTTTCTTATGTTGGGTGTTTCTGGTATGCTATTAGAGAATGCAAAATATGCATATGCTTCAACATATTAATGTCAAGGACTTAGGACTGCAGTTTTCTGGTCAGTTTTCTGCAAATACGATTTTTTCGGATATTAAGAAAGGGGTGACATCATAAAAATTGCAAAAAATCGAGCCGAAATTACAAACCAAGTTTTAAACGCAGATTTTTAGAGGACTAAGCCACAAGACTTTAAGGACATACCACTTCGAGATCGGATGCTTAAAAGAAAAGTTATAGAATTAACAGTGTTGGTTTTGGTCACTTTTCTGGAATTCTATTTTTTGGAAATTGATTAAGGAGTTTTATTGTAAAAACAACAACTCAAAATTTCAACACAAAATTTAAATGCAGAGTTTTAGAGACCTAATCCACAAACCTTTTAAGATATACCACTTAGAAATCGGATGCCGGAAAGAAAAGTTATGGATTTAGAACTGCAGGTTTTTGGTCACTTTTCTGCAAAGTCGATTTTTTCGGAAATTAAGAAATTAACATCATAAAAATTGCAAAAAATCGACCCGAAATTACAAACTAAGTTTTAAATGCAGATTTTTAGAGGACTAAGCCACAAGACTTTAAGGACATACCACTTCGAGATCGGATGCTTAAAAGAAAAGTTATAGAATTAACAGTGTAGGTTATGGTCACTTTTCTGGAATTCTATTTTTGGGAAATTGATTAAGGAATTTTATTGTAAAAACAACAACTCAAAATTTCAACACAAAATTTAAATGCAGAGTTTTAGAGACCTAATCCACAAACCTTTTAAGATATACCACTTAGAAATCGGATGCCGGAAAGAAAAGTTATGGATTTAGAACTGCAGGTTTTTGGTCACTTTTCTGCAAAGTCGATTTTTTCGGAAATTAAGAAAGGGGTTACATCATAAAAATTGCAAAAAATTTAAATGCAGAGTTTTAGAGACCTAATCCACAAACCTTTTAAGATATACCACTTAGAAATCGGATGCCGGAAAGAAAAGTTATGGATTTAGAACTGCAGGTTTTTGGTCACTTTTCTGCAAAGTCGATTTTTTCGGAAATTAAGAAAGGGGTTACATCATAAAAATTGCAAAAAATCGAGCCGAAATTACAAACCAAGTTTTAAACGCAGATTTTTAGAGGACTAAGCCACAAGACTTTAAGGACATACCACTTCGAGATCGGATGCTTAAAAGAAAAGTTATAGAATTAACAGTGTAGGTTTTGGTCACTTTTCTGGAATTCTATTTTTGGGAAATTGATTAAGGAATTTTATTGTAAAAACAACAACTCAAAATTTCAACACAAAATGTAAATGCAGAGTTTTAGAGACCTAATCCACAAACCTTTTAAGATATACCACTTAGAAATCGGATGCCGGAAAGAAAAGTTATGGATTTAGAACTGCAGGTTTTTGGTCACTTTTCTGCAAAGTCGATTTTTTCGGAAATTAAGAAAGGGGTGACATCATAAAAATTGCAAAAAATCGACCCGAAATTACAAACCAAGTTTTAAACGCAGATTTTTAGAGGACTAAGCCACAAGACTTTAAGGACATACCACTTCGAGATCGGATGCTTAAAAGAAAAGTTATAGAATTAACAGTGTTGGTTTTGGTCACTTTTCTGGAATTCTATTTTTTGGAAATTGATTAAGGAGTTTTATTGTAAAAACAACAACTCAAAATTTCAACACAAAATTTAAATGCAGAGTTTTAGAGACCTAATCCACAAACCTTTTAAGATATACCACTTAGAAATTGGATGCCGGAAAGAAAAGTTATGGATTTAGAACTGCAGGTTTTTGGTCACTTTTCTGCAAAGTCGATTTTTTCGGAAATTAAGAAATTAACATCATAAAAATTGCAAAAAATCGACCCGAAATTACAAACTAAGTTTTAAATGCAGATTTTTAGAGGACTAAGCCACAAGACTTTAAGGACATACCACTTCGAGATCGGATGCTTAAAAGAAAAGTTATAGAATTAACAGTGTAGGTTATGGTCACTTTTCTGGAATTCTATTTTTGGGAAATTGATTAAGGAATTTTATTGTAAAAACAACAACTCAAAATTTCAACACAAAATGTAAATGCAGAGTTTTAGAGACCTAATCCACAAACCTTTTAAGATATACCACTTAGAAATCGGATGCCGGAAAGAAAAGTTATGGATTTAGAACTGCAGGTTTTTGGTCACTTTTCTGCAAAGTCGATTTTTTCGGAAATTAAGAAAGGGGTGACATCATAAAAATTGCAAAAAATCGACCCGAAATTACAAACCAAGTTTTAAACGCAGATTTTTAGAGGACTAAGCCACAAGACTTTAAGGACATACCACTTCGAGATCGGATGCTTAAAAGAAAAGTTATAGAATTAACAGTGTTGGTTTTGGTCACTTTTCTGGAATTCTATTTTTTGGAAATTGATTAAGGAGTTTTATTGTAAAAACAACAACTCAAAATTTCAACACAAAATTTAAATGCAGAGTTTTAGAGACCTAATCCACAAACCTTTTAAGATATACCACTTAGAAATTGGATGCCGGAAAGAAAAGTTATGGATTTAGAACTGCAGGTTTTTGGTCACTTTTCTGCAAAGTCGATTTTTTCGGAAATTAAGAAAGGGGTTACATCATAAAAATTGCAAAAAATCGACCCGAAATTACAAACTAAGTTTTAAATGCAGATTTTTAGAGGACTAA